GGGTGAGGGCGGCGGCGGAGGGGGTGGGGGCGAGGAGGCGGCGAGCGGGAAGCATGCGCTGACGGTCCTCGAGGAGGGCGCCAGTGAGGTGGCCAAAGTGGCGGGCGCGGCAGGCGTGCCCCACCTGCTGCTCACCGGCTTCCAAGCCAAGTGAGCTGGCTGCCGGTTGCGGGATGGGAAGCGCAGGTCGAGCTTGGAATGCGGTTTCCACGGGAGAGTCGCAGCAGCACGGTGCACGGTGCATTGCCGACCGGCAAGCGATCTACGCATCGGTGTGCGGAAGCCTGGGCTCTGGCGCTGCTTGGGGTCAAATCGACCTGTTCCTGTTAAACCGCTGCGCCTGCCGCAGGCACCTGTGGGCGCTGCGGGTGGCGGAGGCAAAGCAGCTGCAGCGCCGCGAGCGGCGGCGGGCCGCCCGCCAGGCCGGAAAGCAGCACGGCCCTCTGGCGGCCGCAAGCGACAACGACGATGGGGGCGACGTCACGGATTCCGAGGATGAGGGCAGCAGCGGGTCAGAGGAAGATGACAGCGCGGACACCGACGCCCCGGCCGAGGCCAGCGGGCATGGCGCAGGCGGCAGCGACGCGGCAGCTGCGGCGGACCCTGTGGAACCCGAGGATGTGGAGGAGCAGGCCGCGCTGGCCGCACTGTGCGCGCGCCTCGCGCGCGCCCACCGCCTCGGCGGCCGCGTGTCGGCGGCGTTCGACGGGGACACCTTCATTTTTGAGAAGCACGAGGGGCTGGACGCCGCGCCGGCCGAGGTCGACTTTGAGTCGCTGAGGGCCGAGAAGCGCCACAACGACTGCCGCGCGCTCCAGATCGACCCGGAGCTCGCGGACCGCAAGCGCAGGGCGGCGGAGTTCAGAGGCGCGAGCGCGGCGCGGAGCCGGGGCCAGGGCCGGGGACGGCAGCCGTTTGGCCGGGGCGGGCGGGGGCGTGGGCAGCAGCGGAGGTAGGAGCCCGGGGCGGGCGGCGGGGCCCGCGGCAGCGGCTGGTCGGCAGCAATTGCGGGTGCAGCAGCTGCGGTGTCAGCAGCAGCGGCGGTGGCACCAGCGGCGGCAGCAAGGGGGAAGGAGGAGCAGCGGGAGCCGCAGCACCATCAGCAGCAGGCGCAGCAGCCGCAGCACCAGCATGCTGGTGCTGGTGCGCACCAGCACCAGCACGAGCGGCGGCCTGGCATGGCATGCAGCGTTGTGCCCTGGGTGATGGCCTTCGTATTTTGACAATCGCATGCAGGCCATCCAATATTGCCCTGCGCACTCTGCGCACTCGGCAGGGCACACCCTGTTTGTGTAAGGGGTCGAGCTGTCCGAAGCTGCCTGCGCAGTTGGAGAGGGGACCAAGGCACTACGACCCTGCTGTGCATACGTCAAAGATCCGTGTGGGGCAAGGTGCTTGAAGAGAATGTGGGGCAAGGCAATCAGAGAGAGGAGCAGCATGCAATGCTTTTAGCTAAGGCGGCGGCCCGGGCCAGGCGGCCTGTCTTGCCGTCACTGAGTCACCGGCACTGGCGCAAAAATCAGCTTTGATCAGAGCCTGGAAAGGCGCACTCAAATCAAAACAGTGTTATCTTCCCACTACTTTCACGTCCAGCGCCGGCGTGCATGGACATCGCGCTTCTAGAGGCCACACGCGCAGCATCTGATATTCTCTAGGGCAGATTACGACGCTGGAAGGCGCTCGCGACAAGTCTTCGCGCGAGTAAAGCATTCATCATCACGCTGAGGGGTGCGCATGGGGGATGCGCGGCTGGAGGTGTGGCTGCACATCGCGAGGCGCACCGCTCGCTGGGGCTGCTGCACCAACACCGCACGACCCCGGCACACCCCACACAAGTCCTGACACAACTATCTGTTTGCATGCCGCCATACAGGCACTACCAGTGAAGACTCCTGTGACCAGGACCTTGAGGCAACAGCACCAGCCGTCGACGCCAGCTGCGGCCGCGGCAGACCGGAGCGGCGCTCGCGTGAGAGGCAGAGCCGCCGACCGAGCTCAGCGGCAGCGCGGTGCGCGAGCGGGGCCGAGGACCACTTCGCAGCGCCGCGACGTTTGCTCAGGCGCCGCCTGGGGGCAGCGGCAGCGTGGCGCCATGGCGTTTTTCAAGCGGCTGATGGACCATGTGTTCAATCAGGTCCTGGTGGAGACGCTGGCAAACAGGTGAGGCCGCGGCTTTGCGATGATCTGCATGCGTCTTTGTGTGCCAGCGCGCCCTCTGTGTGTGCATACGCGTTTGTGCGCGTGCACGTGTGAATGTGTGTGTGTGTGTGCGTGCGTGCGTGCGTGTGTGTGTTTTTGTGTGTATTGTGTGTGTTGTGTGTGCTGCGTGCGTGCATGCGTGAGCGAGTTTGTGCTGGTCTACATTCTACTTTGTGCTCCCATCGCATGGAAGGCCGCTTCGCCCCCTGCATGTGCTCATCCACACCTCCTGCCTCTGCCCCTTGCAGCCGGTGGTTCCAGCGGTTTGCAGTGTACTCTCACAAGATGAGCAAGGAGATGGCAGAGAAGGGTGAGCTGGCGACGCAGGACAGGAGGGCGTGCCGCCACAGCTGCTGCTGCCGCCGCTGCCACTGCCGCTGCCACTAATGTGGGCGTAGATGCCGCGCACAGGCAGCAGCTGCTGCGCTCTTGCAACCGGCAAGGAATGGCGATCCCTCAAGCCTCTGGGTCCACGCTGGCTGCTGCGCAGCGGCGGCAGGCCTCCCTTGTGCGCCACCCCCGGCCGGATGCTCCGCCATATCAGCCGCCCTCGCACCGCTGCCCACCGCTGCCAAACCCCTTCTCCCAGCCTCGCACGCGCTTGCATCCAATCGCGCCAAACTCTATCTACGAAATATCCCAGGCAAGGACGGCAGCAAGGTGCTCGACCAGCACATCGGCACCCTGGCATCTAAGGCCAAGGAAACAGCCTCAAAGGTGCGTGGACCGCGGCGCACGCTCAATCGATGGGCTCGGCCCGCCTGCCGCGGCGCCCGCGCAGCGGTCGCCAACCGTCGGCTGCAAAGGGACGGCCCGCCCGCGCTGGATTGAGGTTGAGGACCAGCGATGTGGAAGCAGAGGGGCAGCTCGTTGCCTTCACGCACTGTAATGTACTGCTGAGCGGCTGCAGGGCACATCGTCGCATGCAGGTGGCCCCACTCTCCCGTACCTCCGGCACCCATCTGTTGCACACCTGCAACTCGCCTCTCTGAACGGCTGTCTTGCGCTCCCGCCTGTCCCCCTCCCACAGCTGCAGCAGGACTTCATGGCGGAGCTGAGGAAGCTGCAGGAAGCTGAGGCCGCGCGGCAGCGGCAGCAAGGCGGGAAAAGATGAGGCTTCAGGGAGGTTCGCTGGACGGCCGTCGAGCGTGAATTTTGAGGGAAGGTTGAGGGTTTTCTTGCCAGCCTAGGCCGAATGGCTGCAATGCTTCAAATGCGTGAACGGGCGGCTCATACACATACCCACCAGCGGTGCCGCGAGTGGTGATTTCACCACTGCGCCTTTTGTTTGTTCCCACTGGTCAACTCTGCTCCGGCCGCAGCGCAAAGCCGAGGAGGGACCCAGCTGTTGCGGTGTATGTTTTGAATGAATGTGAGCGTCACCTTTGCCGCACGTTGCCCGCCCTACGTTGAGCTGTTGATCATGAGCAGTTTGCTGACGTGTAAGCTGTCAGTCGCAGCTGCGGCCGGGCACCCCTGGGCTCGAGCGCTGTGCGCGAACGCGCACCGCCTTGGCCTGTGTGCCCAGGTCTCATGCACACCGTTTGACACTCCAGTCAGGAGCATGTTTGGATTCTCTGGGAACAGCTGCGAATTTCAACAAGTTACCGAGCTCAGACAGACATGCAGCAAACGCACGCGCCGGGTGCTTGGGGTCCCTCAGCCACCCGGCTTCATGCCGCCTGCAATGTGCACTCCGGCTGCTGAGCCGATGCACGCACGGGCAGGAAATCGACTTGGCATGAGCAACGAACAGATGCCGCCAAGGGCCCGCATTGGGCCAATCCCTCGGGGCCCCGCGCCCGACACGCCCTCACTCGCCCGCCGCCTTGTCCGCTCTGTCTGCCACGTCGGCGGCCGCCGCTATCAAACCCTCCGCTCCCTCATTTGCCTCCGCAGCCCCTTCGACCTCGGTGCCCTCCGCCGCAGTGGCCACCGCCGCGCCTGCCGCCTTGCCCCTCCCCTTTCCCTTGCCTCTCGTCTCCCCCGTGACCCTCCCTTTCCCGCCCCCCTCCCCGGTATCCTGCCGCGCCTTCCCCTCGGCCACTGCCCCGCTGCCGCCACCGCCGCCGCCGCCGCCATCCTCGCCCTCGCCCTCACCTTCTCCGCCCCCTCTTCTACCCTTCGCCGCCGCCGCCGCCGCCGCCCGCTCCTTTCGCGCGGCGGCGCGCTCCTTGGCCGCCGCCGCCTCCTCCGCCGCCTTTGCGGTGAATTCCGGGCTCCTGCCCAGCACCACGGTCATCTTCGGCTTGAAAGCCGCCCGCAAAGGGTGCCCGTCCACCTCCCTCTCCTCGACGCCCTCCAGATCGGTCGAAATGCCTTGGGGTTCCATACGCAGACGCGTCGCCGCGAGTGCGCAGGAGGGGACGGCGGTCAAACACAGTGCAGGACGGCCAGGAGCGCTGCGCCACACCATGACGGCAAAGGGGGGCAGGCAGCCCAAGCTTCAGTAATGGGGCGGCGAGCCGGCGCGAGCCTCACCTCGCTCTGTCACGAAGCCCTGCTTCTTGAGGATTTCGGCCACCGACACCATTGTGGAGACCGCGGTGCCTAGGGCGGACAGCTGCACCTCGTCGTGGTCCCTCAGCAGCCGCTGCAGCAGGCGCGGCCGGGGCGGGGCGCCCGGCGTGGGGACGGGGCGGCTGCCGCGGTGAGGGGAAAGGCCGGAGGGCGGGGGGGTGTCTCCAGGCATGCGCACGCAAGAGCGAGCAGCGGCCGGCCGGCGCACCTTTGAAAGGGTGACGTAGAAGTACATGGGCCGCTTCGTGGCCGACACCTGGATGCGGTTGCTGCGGTGGGGAGCAAAGGGGCGAAACGTTAAGTAACAAGGTGACAGCGGGCAGCTCAGGATGTGGGGGCAGGGGGCATCGTGGCACCTTGGGCTGGCTTTGAAGGGCCCAGACAGTGATACATCCGTGTTATGTTGCGGATGGGACATGGGCTGCTGTGTATTGATGGCTTTGGGGGGGGGGGGGCATGAGCACACAGAGGGCACGACCTCTGATGATGTCCACGTCGCTCGTGCGACTGTGCGGCCGACGACCCCTGCGCCCCAGCCTCGGCTGTCGCAAGCTGGACACGAGATGATGGATTCTTGCGACATTCAACTCCCCATTGGGAAAACGCAAAGGCTGAGAGGCGCGAGAGCCGTGTCCAGATCACCTTTCCCGGTGTGGTTTGTCCGCATGTGGCTCCTCTGCCGATGTATTCGCCATATTAGCTGCTCCAAAATGCTCTTACGACCGATCACGATGTCCTCCGAGAGAACTAGCCTGCGAGCGTTGCGCAGGCCTGCAGGTGCACCACACAGCAGCACAATGTACGATACTAGGTGGTAAGAGACGTCGCGTGCGAAGAAAAATGGTGCAAAATGGGAATACCGAATCAGGACCGATGCGGCACCCGACCACGCCCCAGCAGTGACGGGGTGGTTGGGATTGCATCAGCTCTGCTGGCGGCTGTTGCCCACCCACAACCCACCCCCCCTCCAGTGTTCATCAGGGGGCCAGCAAACAGCAGGCCCTACATGCGTTGCCGGAACTGGCGTGCACCTGGTGTGCCCTTTGGCGACTCTGAACACAAGTGGACCACAAAGGTTCAAGCATTACCGCACTTTGGTGAACGCGCGCACATCGGCTGCTAACTGGCACATGCGCTGCCTAAAATCCCGCTGCAGCTGCCGCCCGAGCCCACCGCCCGCCTCCCCGCCCGCCGCCTCGGCCGTCCGTGCCTGCAGCCACGCGCCAAGCGCCGACAACGCGCCGGCCACGGCCTCGCCGGCGCGGGGGTCGCCGCCCTGGGCGCCTGCGGCCGCGGACGCGAGAGCCGCGGACAGCGGCGCAAAGGCCGAGGGCTCTGACAGCAACAGCGGCAGCAGCGCGTCAGATGCGAGCTCCATCGCGTCCTGCAGGCAAATCAAGGCGGTGCGGAGAAGGCGTTATCCCGCAGCGTGAAGAGGGATCCAGAAGGGGTCCTTGAGGAGGCGCGCTCGCGCCGCGGCTGCGCCTTGGAGCGCCGAGCAGTGCCAGCACGCCAAGAGGCAAAGGCTTGAGCATGCCAAGCAGCTCAGGAAGGTTTGTGTGTCGCGCGACGCCGCTTCGAAACGGACAACGGTGGCGCCCGCAACCGCGGAAGCCCACCTGCGGCGTGTCGTCCAGCAGCAGCCGCCGCAGCAGCAGCTCCTGGAAATGCGCCACCACGCTGCGCCCGGGGCCTGGCCCGTTGACGGGGAACAGTCGGGAGGCAGGGGAGGTGCGAGGGGGGGGGTGTGAGAAACAAGGCAGCAGAGCGGGCGACGAGAGGGCGTCTTGAGGGGAGGGATGCAGGAGAGTCAGCATGGCGAGGTGCCGCTCATGGGGTGACGGGTGACAGCAGCTAGGATTGTGGATTGTTTCCAGCCAGGATGAAAGCCAGAGCATGGACACGAGATCGATCGGGCCCCCTGGTTTGCCGGCCCTGTCGCGGCCGCCACCCACCGGGCGCATGCGCCGCCAGCCCCTGCGCGCCCGTCTGCGCCGCGCCGAGCTGGAACCTCGCCAGCCCCGCGACCCCCTCCAGGCAGCTGTGCGCTGCGACGGCGTCGCCGCCCGCCAGGCCCCACTCGAGGGACGCCATCAGGCTCGCGAAGTGGCGCGGCTCGAGGGCGGCGACGGCGGCGGTGTGTGCCTCTAGTAGGTACGACAGCAAGCTGTAGTAAAGCTGACTCAGCTTCGGGAACTTCAGAAGATCTGGGCTGATGAGGGGCAGCACTATGTGAAGGCCAACCAGCACGACCCGCGCGGGGTCAAAGCGGCCGCCGGCCGCGGCGCCCGTGGCGCCGGGTTGGGCGGCGCCGGGCGGGGGCGCGTCGTCCAGGGGTTCGCTCTGCGTGATGTGCAGCAGCAGGTTGAGCACCGCCCGCAGGTCGCGGCACTGCTCCGCCTCGCGTTCGTCCCGGAGGGCCTTGGCCGTCTGCAGAGACACCTGGGGAAAGGGAGGGGAAGAAGGGCGACGCGTCGATGCGGGGCCTTGCAATTGGTGTGTGTTTGTGTGTGCGGGCACATGGGCACATGGATTTTTGGAGGGGGGGGGTGCGCGTGTGCGCCGACACTTGCTGCAGCAACGAGCCGTGATGGCACTGGTTATGCACACCGGCACAGGCACAGTGCATGCGCAAGCGCACGCACAGAAACACCCACGGCACACCGGGTCCACCCCACCTGCCACAAGTTCGACTCTGAATACTGAGTCAGCAGCTTCAGGGCCCACGAGAGCAAGCGTTCAGCCTCCTCTGGTGGCAGGCAGTGAGCCTGGCTCTCCACCATATCGTCAGCCAGCTTGAGCAACAGGGCCACCACCTGCAAGGGTGTGTGTTTTTGTGTGTTGTGTGCGGTTTGTGATGTGTGTGCATGTGTGTGCACGCATATGTGTGTGTGTGTGTGTGTGTGTGTGTGTGTGTGCCCACGCACGCGTGTGAGTGTGCCAATGCGTGTGTGTGACAAACAGAGAAACACACGTGCCACCGTCCGCCCACCAATTACGCCCACGCCTGACCTGGGACTGGAGCCGGAAAGCCCAATGCAGCTGCAGCAGTGGCATCAGCAGGCCGGAGAAGAGCTGCCACAGCGCAGGCTGCGTCGACGGCAGCGTCGCGCTCGCCGCGCCCCTCAGAGTCTCCAGGAGGCAGCAGACC